TCCTCAAGGGCCACTGCGTCCTGAAACATCCCACAAATTCTGGTTCAGCAAGTTACCTTGTAGTTCTCAAGTAGAGAGAAAATGGTGGGGCCGCAGGAAACACTAGAGGCCGCATGCATGCGCAGCCAGCGCCCACAGCCTCCCCGCCCCTCCTGCAAAGCTGTACTCTGAGCTCCTTCCCGGCTCTCCAATCTGACTGCCCACCATGGCCAAGGAAGCAGCCTTTGATGGCGCCATGGAAGAACACGTGATTAACGAGGAGTACAAGATATGGAAAAAGAACACCCCTTTTCTTTACGATTTGGTGATGGATGACCGATGCTCTGGGGTGGCCCAGCCTAACTGCACAGTGGCTTCCAGATGTAACCAGACCAGAAGAAAGATTTCAGCATTCATTGACTTGTCTTGGGCACACATACGTTGGATGCACAAAACCACCTTATGGTAGCCAGTGTGCTGCTCCCTAATGATGATGCTCAGTATGATGCCTCACACTACGACAGTGAGAAAGGAGAATTGGAGGTTTGGGCTCTGGAAGTGACAAGATTGAAATAGAAATCAAGATTAACCATGACGGAGAAGTAAATCAGGCCGTTACATGCCCCAGAACCCCTGCATCATTGCAACCAAGACTCCATCCAGATGTTCTTGTGTTTGACTACACAAAACACCCTTCTGTACCAGACCCTTCTGGACATCTCCGTGGACATCAGAAGGAAGGCTATGAACATTTGTAGAACCCAAATCTCAGAGGGCACTTGCTAGTGCTTCACACCATCATACCATCTGCCTGTGGGGCATCGGTGCTGCTCCAAAGGAAGGAAAAGTGGGGGATGCCAAAACCATCTTTACTGGACATACTGCAGTAGTTGAGGATGCTTCTTGGCATCTACTTCATGAGTCTCTGTTGGGGGATACGCATTCAAACAATACTTCTAAACCAAGCTACTCAGTTGATGCTCACACTGCTGAAGGGAACTGCCTTTCTTTCGATCCTTATAGTGAATTCTTGCCACAGGATCAGCTGACATGACTTACTTTGTGGGATCTGAGAAATGTGAAACTCAAGTTGCATTCCTTTGAATCACATAAGGATGAAATATTGCAGCTTCAGTGGTCGCCTCACAATGAAACTATTTTGGCTTCCAGTGGTACTGATCGTAGACTGAATGTCTGGGACTTAAGGAAAACCGGAGAGGAACAATCCCCAGAAGATGCTGAAGATGGACCACCAGAGTTGTTTATTCATGGTGGTCACACTGCCAAGATATCTGACTTCTGGAATCCCAATGAACCTTGGCTGATTTGTTCTCTATCAGAAGATAACATCATGCAAGTGTGGCAGAAGGCTGAGAACACTTATAATGATGAAGACCCTGAAGGAAGTGTGGATCCAGAAGGACAGGGGTCCTAAATATTCTGAACTTGTGATTTGAGGCTCCCCTTTTTTCTCTCAGCCAAGAGGCTGATTTTTAACCCTGGTTTTGAGATACGACTACGTTTGGCTCTCCCTCTTTAGCTTCCATCAACAATGCTCTCAGCCCAAACTGCGTGTTGTCTAAATGTTAACTGGGAGACTTGACTGAGCA